AGATGAATATAAAGATTATTATTCAGGTTTCCTTCTAAAGGGAATTCCTTTTTTTCATTGTTCTTACTTTTTTTTTTTTCTTCCTAGCTGGTTTTCCTGAAAAGCTGTGAAAGCAAAGACTTGCTCACATGAATGTCTGCAGAAAAGATCTTTCTGTCGTCTCCAAAATTTGCTAATGATGACGCAACATTTGTTCCAGGCAGCAGCAGTTTATGAAGGCAGAATTGCCTGGAAAAAAGTGTTTCATGACCTATAGCTATGGATTAACACAGAAGAATAAGGGCATCTCAGTCGTCTTATTACACTTTGAGCCCTTCCCCTGACAGCTCTGACTGCTGCAAAGTGCTGAATCTTCTCTCTGGGTCCCTTAGGCTGAGAGGAACCGAAATGAGAGTGAAGGAGTGCACGTGTGCACGTGGTGGTGGGGAGTCCCATCACTCCCCAGTTTCTGCTCCCAGCACTCAGAGGGCTGCACTTGCCCCCACAGACTGTGGGAGCAGCACCCAGCCTGAATACAACCCACAGCTCCTCACACTTCAGGGCATCCACCCAACCCCCTGCTGGCACCTCAGCCAAGGGTTTACCTTTTCCGCATGATATTTAACAAAGATGCTTGAATAGAAGGCAAATTAATAAACAACTGCGGTCTGGTTGCAGCAATCTGTGTAAAATGGGAAAAAAAAAGTGATGAAAATCTCCTAATAAATCATTAATTGTGATGTGCCTGCCCAGCCGCAGCACGGAAATAAGCAAATGCCATCCTAATTGATTGCTTCTTATTCCATCTTTATAGGCCTGCATTTTTTACTGTGGGGGTTGAATAAGCCCAGAGGTGTAAAAAACCTCTAGATTGTACTCTGTGTATCTGCCAACTTGATATTTAGATCAATAATCCCCCCCCCACTACTCCTACTACTGGTAATTTAGCTTTTCTTCCTAGCAGCCTAATTGCTGTTTTCTTAAGCCTTACTATCAATTCTCTGACCTTTAATTTCCAATATTGTTCGCTGTACGGATCATGTGCTGGGGCTGCAAGTTATCCCAGCCCCTCTGCACCGTGTGGGTCAGACTCGGCTCTGAGCTGCTGTGACAGTCGAACAGGGACTGCCAGGTTCCCCCTCCACTGTTGCCAGTGTGCAGCAGAGACCAAAAGCTCTCTCAAATCTCCACTAAACCTCCGGGAAGTCAACCTTATTTTGCAAATCAGGTTTTGAGATGCTCATTTTTTGTTTTATTAAATGACTACTCACTCTGGTGAGGTCTTGAGTGACGACCACCGATGTCCTCAGTCCTTTTTGAGGCTGCTCTGCACTACACCAGCCAACAGCCCCTCTGTGAGCTTCTTTCCTGCTGTTTTTTCAGGCTCATGGCCACAACATCCCCTGCACTGCAGCATCCCTGCTTCAGTTTCACGTCCACTTGGATCTACTCCATGGTCCAACCATGTACGCATTCATACTTCAGACTAGTTATATGCCATGTGGCAAACACTTCCCAAAACGTGATCTACAAAGCCCAAGGTGCTCTTGCCAGCTCACAGCTTTGCTCTGCTGGTACAAGGCCCAGCTGTCACAGTGCTCATTCAGAAAGGAGCTGCTCGGGCTGCGGGCACCGGCTCATGGCAGTGGGGCAGGAGCCAGCCTCGCCCAGCCAAGCCAAGGGAAGCGGAGGACAACAAGCTCACCAGCTTTTAAAGGATGCTTTGGAAGTTCTGCCTTTGTATTCAGC